ATATATACTGAAGTTTCTTTTCATTGGTTGAAAATTCTTCAATTCTTTACGATACATTGATTTGATAGCTGTCTAGAATGCTTAGGGGGTTTTTGTAAAATACTGTCACTAGCATCCTGAAATGAGAGGTTGTTAACGCTTTATAATGTAGATTGTATATTTATAGCTAAGTCTTTCATCTCCCAAACAGATTACTTTTCACAGAAGATTTGCCAATTCGAAGATCATACCATTGCACCGAGTGGCTCTGCGTATTACAATCCTGAATTAAAGTACGCCGCCAATGTATAGATTAACTTAAGAAGTCACTGCAGCCGCTAAGCGATTTTCCTTTGACAACCATCGAGCAGCATTTACCTTCGAAAGCAACGATATCGTTTGGGAGGCATTGAAGTTTACAAATGCTTATAATGAATTATAGCATTTGACTTTCTCCTGGCTTTATCCCTTTATCGTTCTTATTTAAATGAGGAACGAATTTGTAATAGTAATAATAGTATGCAGGCGTATGTGTAATAATTCACAGCTGATATTAATATCGGCACAAATTCTTAAATTTTATGATGTCTTGTGAAAGGTCGCTCAGTTGAAAGTTGTATACGGTTTATGGTAACTAACCAACAATACACTATGAAAATCAATTTATCATGTTCATAAAAATATATTTGATAGGTTATAAACTGCTCTTTATTTTCTTGCTTACAACTGATTTTCTTAAAATATCTTAATTATCACCATTATTCTAACCAATGCACAATATTTATCAGTTAATAAGGTACCCATGATGCTGTTACGATAATCTAATAAAATACGTAAATTATCATTATTATTAATTACCATTTTCACTATTTGTTAATCATAATTACTCCCTTAACAATTATATCGAGTCAAGTGGCCGAGTGATAAGGCAAGGGGACCGATAACAACAGCCTCATCGGCGCTGGTTCCAGCCGCTCGGCCCATGGTTCTTCTCGGATAAGGACTTAAAATGGAGGTCCGGTGTATACATCTTAAACAACCTATTGCATCTTTCGGAAGAGTAGGGGGTTACCCCGATGCTATGGTTCATTTCAGCCCCTGTCGTAGATTAATGTGAACTTGTAGCTACTATAAGCGCCTTTTTACGGCTGCTGTAGTCACGGACCACGTACATACGCAATTCAGGACAATGACGCTGCAGGTTATGGGTTATTCTCGATCCTACTTTTATTACCGTACTTATGGACATCATTTTTCAGCAATGGCATTTTAAATCTTTTATAAACATAGTTGCTCTGTTGTATTTACAGCATATGCCCTATTATTAGAAAATCAGATTTTTTTAATGTAATGTCAAGCATATAAATTTGCTATAGCACATAAGGAAAGTCTCAATGCGCTGTTAGTGAAACAGAATTAAAATGTTGAAAAAAGATGTTTTAGACGGTTTCTGACAATTTCCGCTGTTACACAGTAATTAGCCACCATCTGCATCATTGAGGAATTCCATACAAACAATCAACACAAAATTATAATAAAATAAAGTGTTCAACCAGACCATTGTAACCATGTTTCACATTTTAATTATAATTATTATAAATTGCCTGGACATCGGCGATTGTAGAAAGAACGCCACGACGCGCGCAACGGACTATCAGCAGACGGCGTCGCGTCGTCTAGCGCTCACAGGGAGCGGAGTTGGATTCATTGGCTAACCAATCGTACGAGGCAGTCAGTGCCCGGAAGAGTAGGCCTGTAGAATTGCAAGAGGTCCGACTGTCGAGGTTTCCTTGAAACGGAATCCTATCTCGAACAGTACTACTACGAACTGAGGGCGGCTTTCAAAAGAACGTTCATATAAATTTGACCTACATCTTATGCATGAACGCACTAGCCGCAGAAAACTCGAAATGCGTAGTTGCTATTGGCTTAAAGCGCGTGACGATATTCATAGAGAGGGTAAATACAAAATTCTGAATACAAAATTTTAAAGACAAAATGATCACTGGTTAATTTAACCAACCAGCATGAGACTTACATGTCAGAACTTAATTTATAAGCTACGCTTGACCGTTCACCCCGAAGTTAAGCGACCTGTCGTTGCAGAGTTACGGTATGTTAAAAAGAAGCAGGAAGTATATCAAAAAACACTATAGTTTTAACCTTTTTATTATGCAAAAGCACAAGATGTTGTCAACTTTAAAAGAAAAATGGTCACTCAATTTTGCATTAATGGTAAGAATATATAGATGATGAATATATAGATGATTATAAAGCTTAAAACATCTAGTTTTATAATCCGATCGCTCCAGATTGGCAATTTAAACCATTCAAATTATATAGTCTATTTTGTAAGAAAAGGGGGTCTCGTTTTGACTCATTTACTCATTTTTTTTTTTATTTAAGGTGTTTTCATTATGAATTCTAATAGGGCGCCCACTATCCAGTGGTTTTTCATTGCGTACATGCAAAATCAAGACAGTCGACCTCTAGCTATTCTTTTGCTCTTAGCAAAAAAATTAAATAGCAGAAAAAATGAGCTGTTCCGCGTATTTGCATTAAAATTGATGGAACATCCGCCCTCCCGCGAGAGAGGTAAAATTTGACTAAGTGGAGAAACTACAGGAAACAAACGAACCAGAGCGGCGCCTTTATTATTGATATAGCGAAGCCTCGCGGACGGGGTAAAATTGCTCTCGTGTACCCACAATGCATTTCGACCGGGTGTTCCATTATATTGGGAAGCTGCTCTATCTTCTGCTATTTATTATCTTTGCTCTTAGATGATTTGACGCTGACGCTGGGAGCCTGTTACCGGTTACTCATGGGAGGTATTAACAGAAAACTAAGTGTACGCATCAAAGTATCAAATTTAACGCTAAGGTATTACTAAGAAGCTTTATAGAGAAAATACATATGTTTATATACGAGAGTACATATACATATAGAAAACACTGCGACTCAATTAAAAACAAAGGTACTGATCCATCATCAAAATATTCGACAGCAGCACCATAGGACTATAAAATAGGCTACGTTTTCGATCTCTATAGGCACGGATAATCTTGAAAAACAAATGTTTTCAACCTTTTTACTGCATATCAAAGCATTTAATCTGCATGCTGACCATGCTAATGCCCAAGCCATTAAACTTTTTCCACGACTTGGGTTGTTTTTGTACCGTCTTAGGGTGATTAAAATGGCAATATGATATGCTAAAGGTAAATCCTAGAGACACTAGACAACTGCTATAACATACACTCAGATTACAAAAATTGCAGTAAAGAGGACAAAGAACCCTGTTTCATAACCATAAACCTACCGTTGAGGTTCAAATCTACATTATCATAAATTGCGTGATTCAATGCAAGTGAGTGGGCGTGTTTCAAAAATACCAATACGACGAATTAAATTCAGTAAACAGATCCTATGTGTCTCAAATTGGTGATGGTCATGTGATAAATTTAATGTTCGGTTTCGATTGAAGAGGATATTGCAGTGTTTTTGTATCAGAATTACGGTGGTTTTGTAACTATAAACAATTATCTCCGGTTTCTAGTGTTTACTTTTAAGATGTATTGTCCTCTGAAAATGACAAAAATATATATTTAAAAAAATATTTAGTTTTGAAATTAACTTCCACATTTTGAAGGAACATAAAAATTATCGACTTGAACATAGAAAATAGAATAATAAATGTTTACCCATAAGTTTACAGCGAAAATTGATAGAAACACTTCCAGTCACTGGCAGTGTTTTTATTATTTTTATCAATCCACTTTAAAAATCATGGTACACATTCTTTAAATTAAGTAATTTCTATGCTCAAGCTAATAATATCTATGTTTCTGCAAAATAAATAAGTTAATTTAATTTATTTTTGTTATGATTTGTTGTCATTTTCAGGGGACAATACATCTTAAAAGTAAATACTAGAGATGTTTCTTTTTTATGATTTTTTCGGGGGTATATTTTATGGGACAATACATTTTTAAGCCTAGGCTCTACTATTTCCGTGTCGAAACCGTTTGGTATCCTACTCTACTCTCAACGATTTGGAAAATGTTCAGTTTATTGTCGTTTTAATATTTGCTGCGAAGCAGCCAATTCATATTCTTGACAGCAATTTGACCTCTGAAAGGTCGTTGTTTGTCAAAAAACAAGAGCCTAAGACGACTGAAAAGCGGAGTTTCCTTCTTTCGTTCTGCCGGGTAAAATCAATTACTTTAGGCGACGTTTGTAGACTAACCAACACGTACCAACATCCGCATGTCGCGCTAGCCTTATCCTACTCTAGGCCTAGACTAGCTAGGATGGTATAGGCCTAGCCTTGAAGGGACGAAGGTCCCAATGAAAAACAACGTCGCTCCTTGATACCTAACATTGTTTATTTAACATCACAATAATTCATTATTAGACCTATAGTTGTTTTTTTGAATTGTACTCCACAAATCTCAGCCGATACCTCGCACAACTCGAGTAACGTCTCGTATCTATTGTCGTGACGTCATGGCTCGCTGGCTCACACTTGCGATGTCTCGCACTTGTGATCAAATAACACGCTGGTTCGCACTTTGGCAACACTCTTTGGCAGTCAACTCACCCCTAGAAAACCCGCTCTTGGAAACTTGCCCCATAAAAAATGTACACTTCCTAGACCATGCAGTCTTCAAAATAAAAATTGTAACCTTTGGTAATCAACTACATTTTCCACATACATAGAAATTTTTGAAAATTTATTTAAAAAAACCTAAACCATAATCCACCACTATAGACACTTTTTGACAAAAATGAAAAACAAAGTGCAACTTCCTCTGCTCCCTGGGGAGTATCCCTAGTCATTAGCTACTTCTTCAGCGCACGAAACTATGACCATTCAATGCCACAACATCCTACCAGGTACCCATTTATACTCCTAGGTAGAGAGAGGCAAACGTAGATAAAGTGCCTTGCCCAAGGACACAAGCAACTTGCACAAATTTCGAACCCCTGACCTCAAGGTTGGAAGTCCAAGCAACAATCGATGCGCCAATCACTTTTCTTGAAGAACCAGTCACCCAGATTTTGTTTTGCCAATCAATTTTAAAAGTAATGTTTCTAATTTTTAAAAAAAGTTATTGCCTACTTTAATATGTACGCTATTGGAATAATGAGTGCATAAAAGAGAGTGTTAACGGTTTTCCAACTTCTGATATTTCCAAATGCAGCCGATACAAGGGCAATCTCATGGTAAGATCCTTTGTTGTTGTCTGGACAATGCTTATTAAGAAAACAAATTCACTTACTACATTTAGCACCTTGTTGTTAATTGCTAATGAGGAAGCATTTTGGGCCTGTGTGATAATTTGGCCCTTTTCAGCATTCACAAATATTACAATCATATTGCAAAAGCTAGTTGTAATTTACGAGTGCTAATTTAAAGCTTTTTGAAGATTGCTGCAATTTGGGTAGTCATCTGCATACCTGATTGTAGTTGACATATCATGTTTTAAGGAAGAATAATTCCAAGCCTTCAAAAAAGACATTAAACATTGTGAGCGACAGAAGACAATCTTGTACACCCATCTTAACTTCGAACCAATCCCGTCAAGTTTCCAACAATGGTGATCTCACACTCAGTATTGTTGTACATGTTGAGATTGGAAGAAAATGAATATTTTTTTTTTTTTTTGAAATTTTAGAATGGACCAGTGAGGCCCTTATTTTATGGTAAAATCATCTTTTATCTTAATTTTTTTTTCTCTTTGAGTTGGGACTATTATATGTTCAATTAACTTAGAACCAGTGGCGTAACCAGCGGGAGCAGGAAGAAAACCTCCCACCCTCTTTGGAAAATATTCCCCCTGTTTCCCCCTCTGGGAAAATTGAGAAAGGGGAAAGGGAAAGAAGATGCCCTTTTCAGCCCTGAAAGTGACTAAAAATGTCAAATTTTGCGCGCTTCGCGCTCATTTCTTGTTGGATTAGCCCAATTCACTACAAATTTCACATTTTAGGTAGTTCTGACTGGATTTTTGATCCGTCAGACGAAAATGGCATAAAACCCTAAAATGTTTGCGCGCTTGGTGCGCATTTTTCACGATTATAGTTTGTGATTTCCCCTTCCCCCTCCCCTTCCCCCTCTGAGAAAAAGCTAGTTACTCTACTGCTTAGAACCCCACTTTTAATAATAACGTTTTAGATATGGAAACATAAATAGACGGAAGTCCTGAAAGAAAATGTTTCTTTTTGGACTAAGGAGATATACAAAGGTTTTGACAGAGCAGCGACGATATGCGAATGTTTTTTGGTTTTTTTTCTTTCTCATTCAGTAGACCTGAAACTGTGTTCTCATTGGTATTGGATATATATTCGTATTCAAGTAACAACCAAGTAATACGAAAATTATATAGTAGGCCTACTGCTCGTTCTGACATTATTGCCGGCTCAGCAAAGTCCTCGGTGTGTAAAATAATGAAATATTTATTGAATCTATAGGTTTCTCTTTATTAATTTTGGAAAAAAAATAGATTTTGCATTGATGTTATTCATATATCTTCCTTTTTATTCTTGTCATTATATTTTTCTCTTCTCTTCTCTTTTTCTTTTTCCTTTCCCTTTCCCCTTCTTTCTCTTTCCCTCCCTCTCTCTTTCTTTCCTCTTCTTACCCAGCCCGGTACGACGGCTTGGTCAGCCGTTAAAATCCGTCAAGAGGCCCTTTCCCCACCCCCACACCCCGCCTGTTACGCCACTGGGCTCAGGGATCATCATTAATGCGTCTTTTTCATATGGAATTGCTGAGTTATGAGTTTAAAGTGGGCTTTCTAGCAGCCAAGTACATCATTGATATTGATTTGTTTGTTGCCGTTTATGTCTGCAACTGCATTTAATGGGGTATTAATCTGTCTCTTATACACATCTAGATGTGTATAAGAGACAGCTCCTAGGTAGAGAGAGGCAAACGTAGATAAAGTGCCTTGCCCAAGTTTTTCTTTTGTGTCCAATAACCTCATTTCTCACTTTGTATTGTTTTTTAAAACAATATTAAGTATTAATTAAATACTGTAATCGCATCTTTAAAAAATTACGGTTGATATTACAGTTACAAAACTTAAATTGATTGATGAATACGATATTAAAACATTAACAGTGTCAGTTGCTAATACCATGGAGAATTATCTCTCGGTTTTATTACAGACAAGCGCAGTTGTGCAATAAAAAAACTTAACGATCATGGCAACTTGTAGAAGGAGGTCAAGGGTTACAATATACGTACCATTTTGTCAAATGAAACAAAAATTACGGTGACCCATATTGAACAGAGTATGCAAATATAGTCACTGATACAATACATAATAATGCGCTACAAGATTGGATTTTGTATATAAAATTTAAAAATATAGACAAATAATAATGGTCCAGCTAGAATACTATGGAGAGGGTCCTGTTGTTTAGTTTTCTATACTTTAACAATGGCGCAGAAATCGTTCAATAACAAGATACACCCCTCCAACATTTTACAGGTTAATCATAATTTAAATTGGTACCGTATACAATGTAAATTAACCTATGGTATTATAATATTGTTCTTTGTTTTTCTTTCTTTTTTTTTGACATATTACGTGTCATCCGTTTTGACCGTTGTTTACATTGTACAGGACGTAATTCATACGAAAATACTGTAGGCCTATTAACTATTTTTTCTTTAGTTATTGTCATAGTCCTATCTACCAAATATGTTATTTTCCCCGCAATGCGTGTTTGCCAGACATCAGGCAGGCAGGCAGGATATAGAATATCGATTTTTGTTATTTGATGTCAGTCTATGTATGATGAGGGCCCGCCCCCATGATGTATAATCTGCCAATCAATTTCAACGTTGCGCTTGATGCGGTGACTTCATTAATGGTGAATTGCGTTAATATGCAAACATAAAACTGTCTTGCTAAGATTTGCTTGTAGATGTGAATCATCAATTAAACATGAAAAGCAATTTTACTGCATCAAGGAAAATGCAATATTTGCCGGTTGCCAAGCAACGTTTTAGACGACAATCAGAAGCATTTTATCACGATTTTGACATTAAAAACACTGTCACATGACTCAGTCTTTAAAACCACTACGACTTTACATGTGTCAAACGGTTGATGTGGTTTGTGCCTTGTTTGCCTGTTTCGTATGCGAAAAACTACATTTTAGGGTGTAGTTTCTTTATAATGTCATTGGCTTCCTACCACGACCAAACATTCGTCCCATAATTGAAGGCTTGGCACCATGTTTAAGCATTTTCATGTCCCTGTACAGGTCGTAGAATGTATCCTCAATTTGTTTATAATGTTCCGCCGCTGACAACACCTTGAAAGAACAACCTAATTCACTAGCTAACTCTCGACCTGTGTGCGGGAAAAAAAAAGAAAAAGTATATCGAATCAGTTTATTGTATAATTTTTCTTACTGCCGTGTGCCTATTGTTACTAGTTGTAAACCTACAACAGGCCTAAGGCTCTCTCAACAACCTTAAAAGGACCTAGATGTTACTACCAGATTTATATGAAAATAATAGGCCTACATGAGTAATAGAAATAAAAAGAAGGTAAAAGAATAATAACCACATCAGCAGACCGGTTAGGAAGAAAACACACACACACACACACCCACACAAATCATATTTCCCCTATATGTGGTCCGATCCGTTTACTGTTTTCGTATGACTGCAATTTTGCTAAGTCGATTGATTGTATTTCTTGATAATTTCCAACAATTGTAATAACCATTTTCTGTGAAAACATCAACATTTGTAGCGTAATGACCCAACTGAATGATTATCTGTTTCCTGGAAGGAATAGAATTAATGTTATGTTTACAATCGTTATTATTGAAGCGTACACGATACGACGGCATTATACGCGTACGAGAGTTGACGAAAACATACATATGAGGTAAGTAACAATCAAATACCGCAATATCCGACAGGTTAGTCATTAAGGACAGCAGAATTAGCTTCAGTAGTCTCCGGTTTAGTCAGGTAGACAATCAACATGGATCACAGTGACAATAATAATTAATCAATCAAAGTTAAACGAACATTCGCCTGTGCGTTTTTACGAAGTCAAAAGTCAAGTGCAGGTCATCATTATTATTTAATTATTTTCAAACATTCGCCAACTAATAAATCAATCTAACAATTAATCAATCAATCAATTAATCCGATAATGTACTGCAACCTTGGCGAACACTGTCTTACTCTAGTTTTAGACATTCGTTAGCAATATTATAAAAATAATGGTAATAATAATAATAATAATAAAATAATAATAATAAACACAGTTATAATAATATAATTATCTTCTTGAAATTGAAATTTCTATATGAGATCAAGAGTCAAGTGGAGGTCATAATTATTTTCACACATAATATACCGATCACGAAGCAATCAATCAATAATTCAATCAGTTATATTCAGTTAATCAATCACTCTATCAGTTAATTTATCAGTGAAAAGTGCGTAATTATAAACGTATACGGGATGGAGAATAATTCTTGCATAGTAATTTCCGCACTAGCTGTTGTCTTCTGTAACATATCGCAATGTCAAGTTTTAAAGGAAACGAAATTGAGAAGCAGTAAATCATCAACGTACATTCGATGGCTGCCTGCACTGAGGGCGCTATGGTAATTGTCTCTTATCTCAAGGCATGAATTCCAACAATTTCCAAATTACTCTGGTATACGCATTTGAAAGATAATTACATTAAACTATCATTGAACTGAGTACACTGAGTGAAGAAATACCCCGTAAATACACGACTAGAACGGATGTCTGCTATAGCACACTTCAACGGTAATTGAGTTTCAACTTCAATGTCTTAAACATGAATTATTCTCCCACGCAAATAACATCCGTAGCCTTTTTCACCTCTTTCGGAGACCACTTACTTACTCGCACGTCTTTACATCAATGTCAATTCATTCCAACCCAGCAACATGCGCTGCATCAAGCCAGTCACAGGAGGAAGGAAAAGGTTCGTTTTTACAAGACAAAATAATGACGTCAACACAAGGGACTACCATTTTATACATACACTATGCCTTTGGTACAACTCACCTTCGGCAGTTTCAACAACTTGAGCATGAAGCAAATCTTGTTTGTTTGCTACCAATGTAAACGGCACAGGAAACGCTTTTCTAGCCTCCGATATCTTATTCTGGGCTTTCCACAACGCTTCGAAGCTCTGTCTATCAGTTACTGAGTAGACAAGCATGATGCCATCTGCCCACTCAATTAGCTGTGTATCTGTGAATATGTCCTACGGTGAAACGAAGAATGAATTTTAATTGGAATTTTTGACAATGTCCATAGTCCATGTGTCAACTGAAATACAGTACAACATTGTAATGATACGCAAACAATGACAGTGATTGAAAGATCTTTGAATGATAGTGTTTTAAGCATTATGTTATCGCAATTTCAAATGTGGCTAGGGGCGGATCCAGAGATGTCCAAAAAAAAAGGGAGGGGGGCGGAAAGTGGGGCCGATCGAGATAATACTACCCTAGGGCGTCCGGCGGCATGTTCCTGCGAATTGTTGTGTTGCAGCCAGACGCCCGAAAACAACCTTTCAGGCGTTTTGGGCCATCATTTTTTTCTTTTTCTTTCTCCTTTACCCCTTTTTTGACCTTCCTGGTGGTTGTGTTGTTGTGAAGAATAGAAAGTAAAAGAGTTTAATAATGATAATGATGTTGCTGTTGTTGATAATGATGTTTATGGATAATGATGGTGACGATGACGATGATGATCATTAAGATAATGATGAAGATGTTAAAGATGATAACGATATTTACATTTACCTGGTTATTTATGTCAAGTATCTCCATAGAAACTATATCACCGTCGATTTTAGTTTGGTGATGATATTTTGTCTCTGAAAAACACAGTAAACCAACCATATAATCGTATTATTATCGTTTAATAGGTCAATCATTCTTAGGATCAGTTGCTTTTTGTATTAATATGGACTTACCCTGATCATGTCCATATTCTCCTATAAACCTCTTAGTTAGAAAACGAACAGTAATTGCTGTAAACAAAGAAATAAAAATATGGATATATATAAATGTCAATGGCTATGTACAACATTCCCTGTAGAGCATAAAAAATTGATTTCATTATAAAAGTTAAAGGCATCTCTTAATTTTATCTTGTGGTTATATACAGACCCTCACGGATTTGTGATCTTTTTCTAAAGCCGGTATTTTCTTGTAATTTAACTGTTCCTTGCTTTAACATTATTAATTTATAACTCGTAACCCAAAGATTGAAAGATCAGACTAGAAATTCAGCAAGGGTGAAGATAACAGGTCTTACAATCTTTATGATCAAATAAAATCTGATAATAGCCGATAACGTAACATAAGTAACACCGTACCGTAGTTGCTAGAGGGCGTAGCCCAATATTAAAGCCAGACCGAGCTTCGTATAGCGGGCCTAAACATAATGATGGTGTCAACTCGAGCGGACGATCGACTCGCGAGCCGGACCTTCATGTGAACGACAAGCCGCTCTCGATACAGGTCGCCCTCGATCCATGTGAACAGCCGCTTGCAAGTGGGTCGTCAGTGAGCTGTGAACTCTTTTGTGTGAAAGCCAATCAGATACAAGCATCCCTCTGGGGTCAAAGTAATTAGCTTGTTTGCGCGAATATAGAACGCTATTTTCCCAATCGTTGCGGTTTTGGCTGTTGTATGTCGTCTTTCATTTAAATATCCTCCATGTCAACTTCAACTGGATCTGGCCCTCTGGCCTGTTAGACCGAGGAAGAAATTAGTGATTTGATAGAGATCATTATTCGCGCCAACAACCTATAGTAGGCCTAAGTATTGTTTGAAGATTTGCATGGCAAAGTAATAACATATATGTTGAACCTTGCGGTACACCACGTAGGTGAAAAGAACTGTTGTAGTTGAGAAAGCCTCGACGTTTCGATTGAGATGCTTCTATCGTCTTCAGGAGAATAATATCTGCAGAAATTCCAAACAGAGAAATAATTACCGTATATGTTTGTGTAAAAAGGTTGGTTGGTGATTGGATGGATAAACTGACCAATGAGAAGACTGCTAGTGAAAGGCTAAAACAAAAGCAATTGTTCACTGAGACAAAGGGTGGGAACGCCCAAACAAAGGCATGGTTCCAGTGGTGGGAAAAGGGTGGGAACGACCAAAACAAAGGCATAGTTTCAGGAACGGGAAAGGGGGATGAGAACGACCAAAAACAAAGGCATAGTTCTAGTAGGGCGGGAAAGGGGTGATGGGAACGACCAAAAACCAAAGGCATAGTTCCAGTGAGGCGGGAAAAAAGGGGGCTTAGTTAGGTCCGATTAAACATGGACAGCCAAATATCGCTAATGACAAATCCGATATCTTGATGTAAATATTGTGTTTGCGAATTTCTATGGTTTCTCTGGTCCTTCTGGAGTGCCACGATGGTACAGAGGTCTTCGTTTTTGGGTCTTCGGTCTTCGTTTTATAGACACCCACATTCGCGCGGGATCCGATAAACTCCTGGCTGACTCTGTGCTGGTGGTTTATCCTTGTGTGTTTGTAGAGTCCGGGATAGTTTGTTGGGCTGTCTCTTATACACATCTAGATGTGTATAAGAGACAGACAGTTGATTATCAAAACTAACATTTAACCTTTGTTTAATACTGTAATTAAATATGTTTTTATGCTCTTCCTGTTTCTCAGAATAACGTCGACACTACTAGTAGTAGTAGTATTACGCAGCTTTTACATTATAAGTGACCTAGTTGGTGCCCCATAGAAATGGTATTAAGAACATCATTTCTAATACCTTATATAGATAGCTATCTTCGAAACGCATGGGTTTGTCTCCGATACACTCCCTCACAGTTTATCTCTTTACAGAACGAGGTATTAGTTAGCACAAAGCTATGCGACGTCGATGACGTCCAAGTACTCAATGTCATATTCTTGTACCGTAATTAAGATAGGACCTCCAGTTGGTTTGCTTGATAGCTAGGCCTAGGCCGTAAGCCAGTCCTAGGCCGTAAGCCAGTCAGCCATTTATTTTAATAACACAGAACACGTATTGTTTTACGACATTCTTTATTAGATAAGTATGCGCTAGTAGCGGATCCAGCTTGCGGGTGTTGGGATGGGGATGTTTGAGCGGTGTTGAAAGACACCCTCGCTTACCCCCAGCTCTCCCTCGCACTACCCTGGAAACAAATCTGCCCCTGTTGTGCAGTGGTAGGAGCTACTACTAATTTTATATGCTATATAGTTGGCTGTTGTCTGTTTATTTGCCATGCCTTCATTCCATATCATCATAGCACTTTATAGCTCCGATGAGGAAGAATATCTGGCTTGATTGATCTTTTTTGTATGGGCGCGGCCGTGATTGATTAATAGATCTTCTATTTTCATAGATCTTTTTTTTTTGTGCTGATTGCTTAATAGATTTTTTTTTTTGGGCTTTTGTGCTGATTGCTTAGTTATCTTCTTTGTATGGGCGGCCGTTAGGGCTAATTATTGTCATTTTATTAGCTCCGATAAGAAGTTTTAGAAACACTCGGACCTCACTTCTTATTGTTGTTACCAGAACTTCAAAAGCGTCCAGCGCCGATTTGAACGGACGTGCAGGAACTTTTGTACACATAAAGTAGAGGCCAACAAACATTCATGCCCTTTCTTTTAAGTTGGACACCAGGGCGCCCCATACACCTACAGAAAAGGGGGTTTCAACAAGGACTACATTATCGCCATTACCACAAAATATGACACGTCGCATGGATAGCGCGATCAGTTATAACGATATGTTTTTAAGGAACCAAAGGTCGTGAGTTCGAGTCGCGTCTTGGTATTCAATTTTTATTTTTTTTTTTCAATTTTAAGACATTTTGTACAAATGAACATTCTAATTACAGTATTCAAAAATGTCTATCTTACTATACAGCCCTCATCGGAGCTATCGATTACGAGACCTTGTTTTGTTCGGCATGCGTCCCGTGAATTTACGCCTTCTCACCACGTAACCTCTATTTTATGTGGAATTAAGGAAGAGAGATAGAGAAATATTGTCAGATATTGTAAGAATGTGAGGGCGATGACAGGTGGTCAATCAACTTTGCCATGTTTTACTTAAGCCGAAATGTAGGGTATGATTGGTCGTAGTTTAGAAATGACATTTAGGAATCTGAAATGATTGACAGTGGTCAAACATGTTTGTTGTTTTTAAGCCAGACAGAAGAAAAACTATACCTGTATACCTGGTATCGTCCGTCTGATACCTTGCAGGTGATACATATAACGATCAGATAAATTACACCATCATCATATCTGTTACAAAGTACAGTAATACAAAGTCTTAATTTTTTTCGGAAATGAAGGCCCTTTTGTTTCAAAGTGCATTTGTTATACTCTAATCTCACCATGGATTCAGGGCCTACAGTATTGCTTCAAAATAATTGGTGTCTTGTCAATGTGACTGTATAGATCATGCCGTTTAGAGATGCATATAGGCCTAAATATTTCTAATTACAGAAACATCTTCTAATTTCATTTTGATGAAGGTATGTTCGTAATAATTGTATTACTAAATTTATAATTCCATCAGTATGCCAAGTCAAAATATAATCGATTTATAATATACCATATTAATATTATGCCTATTAATACCAATGTACAGTATTGTTAGCTATATCGTACCATGCCATTACATCTGCCTATTTCATCCTTCATTATTATCATTATCCCTCTCATTAATGTTAATATTTCTAGTATTCAGGCTTTACATTACATCACAGCCAATCACACAGATGACGTCAGAGTGTTTACATTTTAAAAAGCAACGAAAATGCCTCTAAATTATAATTTTTTACCAGAGTCAATATCTCATCTAGTTTGAAAACACATTCTACTGTAGATTATCATCGTTTTAGGTCTATCATACGCAAACTCATTATATCAGTATCATTAATTTGGAGCTGTTTAATGAAATTCCAAATGCCTTATAGCATCTAAAGTTATAAAACAAGTAGATATTTTATCTCCAAGATGTGATTAAACTCCAGCTACATCTAATTTTTATCCGGTAAGAAACGATGCCCAATTGTCACTGGACATTGCGTCTTGAAGAGTAGGTCCTAATCCTCTTGAAGATCGGTCAATAACCGCTACAAATTAACCACACGCTGCTAATTGAACTGAACTAGATTCACACGCCCTCTATAGTAGACCCCGCCAGGAATAGATTTTAATTGCCCATACACTCACGTAAATAAACTGTAGACCGAATAAACTATGTAGACCGAATAAACAGTGCTTTCAATACAATAGTTGTACTGCGTATGCAGTCCCCGACGCAATCGGGAAGGCTCCGGGATTCAACCGACCAATCAGCATCAACAGAAGCTGTCGGCGTTAGCGTGTAGCGATTGTATGGAAACCAAGCTTAAGCCTGGTTTCCATAAAAATCGCCGATTCGTTTAGTTTGCGTCAGGGACAGCTACTAGGCGGTAGACTCAGTACAAGTATTGCAGGGAAAACACTGTAGCGACTGTGTAGCGATTCTATGGAAACCAGGCTTAACGGCCTACAAATTAAACCAAGCCTAGTAAGCCCATCAATTAGGCGAGATAATGACGCAAAGGATTAATGATAATTTGGTTCGAATTACTCTCTAGGATTAATTGCCAAAGAGTGAAAAAAGACTGGAATAGTGCCTACATCGATCACTCCAATAGAGTAGAGGAGACCAATGAGTGAAATTTCACTCTACTTCGAGTTAATTTTACTAACTTTTCATCAAATTTTAAGAATAATATTCACTCTTTTAAGGAATGGTAAAATTATAGTGATCTTTGTAGGCACACTTTTTCGAGTGAAATTCGCTCTTTTGCATTTAGTGAGTAATGTTGGATTACTTGTCTGTACGTAAATAATCATCATCATCTTTTTAAAACGCATTTCGGCTCATCTTAGATCTCTCCTAATACCGTACTGTACATTTCGCAATGGGTCGTACCGAATGTCGTAATGGATCGGTTCTACATTGTGATCC